TTGTCAACAACATCACCATCATCATCAGTACCAGCATCATCATCAACAGCATCAGTATCAGCAGCATCATCATCAGCATCATCAGCAGCAGCATCAGCATCAGCATCAGCATCAGCATCATCATCATCATCAGTATCAGCAGTATCATCGACATGCTCAGCAGCATCATCATCAGCATCATTATCATACTCATCATCAGCATCATCATCATCAGCATCATCGTCATCATCATCAGAATCATCATCATCATCATCATCAGCATCATCACCGTCATCCTCATCATCATCCTCATCAGCCTCCTTGTCAACAACATCACCATCATCATCAGTACCAGCATCACCATCAACAGCATCAGTATCAGCAGCATCATCATCAGCATCATCAGCAGCAGCATCAGCATCAGCATCAGCATCAGCATCATCATCATCATCATCATCATCAGTATCAGCATTATCATCGACATGCTCAGCAGCATCATCATCAGCATCATTATCATACTCATCATCAGCATCATCATCATCAGCATCATCGTCACCATCATCAGAATCATCATCATCATCATCATCAACATCATCATCTTCATCATCATCATGATAATCATCATCATGATAATCATCAGAATCATCAGCATCAACAGCATCGTCATCATCACCTTCATGATCATAATCATCACCACCACCATCGGCATCATATCATCATTATCATCATCGGCAGCAGCATCATACTCAGAATCAGCATCAGCATCATCATCATCATCATCATCATCATCATCATCATCATCATCATCATCATCATAACTAACATCATCATCACCATCATAAGAATCAACAGCATCAGCATCCAATGCCACATCGTTACTGGGCTGGTCACCATCAACAGCATCAGCATCATCATCCGTATCAGCATCACCATCGTCATCAGCATCGTCATAACCATCAACATCTCAGCATCAGCATCATCCTCAACAACCTCATCATCAACATCATCCTCATCAGCAGCATCAGCATCATCATAATTACCATCATCAGTATCATCATCAACAGCATCAGCATCATCATCATCATCATCATCATCATCAAATTCCTCTTCATCTTCATCATCACCACCATCGTCGTCATCATCATAATCAGCATCATGATCACTGTCATCATCATCATCAGCAGCATCATCAGCATCCGATGCCACATCGTCACCGAAATCGTCACCCTGAACGGCATCAGCATCAGCATCATCATCATCCGTATCGGCATCACCATCGTTATCAGCATCCTCATCATCATCACCATCCCAGCATCAGCATCAGCATCATCATCGTCAGCACCACCACCACCACCATCATCATCATCATCATCATCATCATCATCATCAACATCATGATCATCATCATCATCATCATCGTCGTCGTCATCGTCAGCACCACCACCACCACCATCATCATCATCATCATCAGCATCATCATCATCAGCATAATCATCATCACCATCATCATCATCATCAGCAGCATCAGCATCAGCATCAGCATCATCATCATCATCAGCAGCATCATCATCGCGATCCTTCACCGTACCCCCTCCATTCCTCATCCTCCCTCCTCCGTCCTTCGTCCTCGTCCTCCCCTCTCAAATCGCTCCTCATCCTCCTCCGCTTCCTCCCCTCCTCCCTCCTCCTCCCTCTTCGACGCGCCCCTCGTCGTCGTAGTCGACTTGTTCTTTTGCCGAAGGTGTTCCTGGCCCAGGGTGTATCTCGCACTTTGCCCCACCTTGGACCGCCTGGGGTATTCCGGGACCTCGTGAGGAACACTCTGGAGGGAGGCCGTGGGGCCTCACTGGACGTCCTGGGGGCACCCTGGGCCAGGGACACCTCTGGCAACATCTAATCGTCGTGGTCCTCGTCCTCGTCATCGTCGGTGTCCTTGACCCCATGCTCATGCCGCGCCCCCCCTGGCAGGGCAGCACCGAATAGAACAGCGCTTGGGCACCGCTGCCGGGCGTGATGGTGACCTTCAGGCTGGCGTCCACGCTCCCGTTCCACGGCACCTTCAGAAGGGGAGTTGGACGACGCTTTCGCGCGCGCTGGCACGCAAGGCAGCGTGCATCGAGCTGGTCTTCTGCAGAGCCTGAGTCCATAGGATGGGCGACGAAAGCTCAGCACTGAACCGCATCTACACGCCTCGTGTCTGCTTCGCGCTGGGAATCTGGCCGAGTGGATGAGAGCCAGAGCGCACCGCACGGGGACCTTGACTGCGCCGAAGCTGACGAGCGAAGGAACAACAGGGGCGGGCGGGGAGAGGCCGGGCCAGCAGCACTACCGTTTGTTGTGCCACCCCCTAGAAAAAAGTCGGCGGGCGCGCCCTAGCAACTGACAGCGCCGCTATCGCGCCCTCAACTCAGCAGCTGCGCACGTGCAGGAACCCTGCGTGCACTGCACGCTGTGTGCATCTGCTGGGCCGCTGGCTCACCCAGCCGAGACTGACATCCTCTGATGCGGCTTGCGCTCGGGGGGTGAAGCGAAGATCTAAGGAGCTTCAACGGTTCACACCGTAAGGCGGCGAGAAGAGCGCACATGCTCAACAGCGTGTATTACACACGCACGGAAGCCACACTATACGCAAGTACACCTTCTTCAGCTCTATGTTATTTCATGTTCGCCGCTGCCCGTGTCTGACCATGCACGTGGCAGAAGCACGAAGACACCAAAACCATGACGAGAACAGGCCCAGGTGCGCCCACGTGGCTACTGATTTGTTAGGTGCTACCCCTCGCCGTAAGATTGCACAAGCACATCTTCCCACTCGACAGGTCCCTCCCTCCTTCCATCCCCTTCATCCCGTCCACTCCCCCCCAACTCCCCCTCCATCTCCCCACTTCCCCCTCCGTCCTGCCTCCGACTCCCTCCTCATCTCTCCTCCGCCTCCTCACCTCTGTCCCTGGCGGCGGGTTGGGGCAGCACCCCGGAGCTCACGTGTCATTACCAACCATCCCGTCGCTAGGGCGCACCTGGTCCCCTTCTTCATCCTATTGGTGGGTTGGGGCAGCGGTTACACTTCGGAGGGTCAAGATTCAGCTGGTGTCCTGGTGCTCCTATGGGCGGCGCGGTCCTCTGGATGTAGCACATGTATGGTGGTGTTGCGATTGCTAGTTATAAGGTCAATGCTGTGTCGCTTCGAGTTATCGCTACGCTTGAGATGGCGCGAACGCACACTATGGGTACGATTCACAGCACGTGCTTACTTCTGATACTTCGCAGTGGCGCGCTGGTGATTCTCTGCCTACACGCTCGCAGTTCCTGAAGTGTTCAGTGGCGCTTCGTGCTCACAGGCTGGCTGGCGGCTTTTCGTGGTGTCGGTCCTGTACGTTTTCCGCGCGGTCCACGCCGAGTTCAGGGAATGCATTTTTCACGCGAGCTTCGCATTGCGAAGGGGTCCGCCCCATTCCACCAGGTTCCCATCCCGGGCACCATTGTCCTGGACTCCTCGGCCGAAGGCGCCGTCCACGTCCTTGCGCCTGGTCCACTCACGCCCTCCCCCCTCCCTCAACCACATCTGGCGCTGGCGTGCGCGACAGCGGGCGTCGGCACGGGGCGCGCGCACTCACGAAAGGCGGGGAAGCGGAAGCGGCGGGGGCTCCTTCCAGCCCTGCCCAGGGGGGTTCGGGGAGCCCTTGTCCTCGTTGTAGGCCCACACCTGGAGAGCGGCAAGGGGGAGAGAAGGCGGGGCGGGGGCAGGGGAATGGAAAGGCGGAGGTGGAGGCAGAGGAAACATGCATGCACCATATATATATATACATATCGATATACGTATGATACACCTATATACCTATATATACACGTGTAACAGACATTACCCCAGTGCGACCCTACCTAGAAGTTGGAGCCCCTAGGAAAGCAGCATTAGTTGTTATGCCATGATATGCTATGGTATACCATGCTATGCTGCGCTATGCTGCGCTACGCTATGCTATGATGTGCTGCGCTATGCTATGCTGTGCTATGCAATGCTGTGCTATGCTATATTAAGCTATGCTATGTTGCGCTGTGCTATGATGTGTTGTGCTGTGCTGCGCTATGCCATGCTATGCTATGCTATGCTATGATATGATGCGCTATGCTATGATCTGCAGGGCTATGCTATGATATGCTGTGCTGCGCTATGCTATGCTACGCTATGCTATGCTATGCTGTGCTCTGCTATGCTAAAGCTCAGCGAAGCTAATATGAAGGTAAGCTGAGCTAAGATAAACCTGAGCTAAGATGAAGCTAAGCTAAGCTAAGATGAAATAAGCTAAGATATGATGAGATAAGCAACGCTAAGCTAATAGGACGTAACTGGGGGAACCGCGGGCGGATCCTGGGGGGACCGCCCGGGGCGATATCCACTGCCCGGCCCCTTTAAGCCCAGAGGGTAAGAACCCTTCTAGGCAGAGCCTAGGTAGGGAATGAAGGTAAGCTAAGCTAAGATAAACCTGAGCGAAGATGAAGCTAAGCTAAGCTAAGATGAAATAAGCTAAGCTAAGATGAGATAAGCAACGCTAAGCTAAGGGGACGCAACTGGGAGAACCGCGGGGCGGATCCTGGGGGAACCGCCCGGGGCGATATCCACTGCCCGGCCCCTTTAAGCTAGAGGGTAAGAACCCTTCTAGGCAGAGCCTAGATAGGGAATAAGATATCCGCCGATCCAGCATGTGAGTTTCAAAGAGCTTGAGCTACAGCCTACAGCCTGAGCTTCAGCTCTGCTGGGGGTTGGGGGCGGGGGGGGCGCTGCTGGGGCAGGGGGGGGCACCTGTGCTGCGTTTTCTAGGCGGGGCTGGGACACGCACGAATCCGCCAAGTTCCCACCACCGGGGCCAGAGCCCAAGATGGCCGCCAGATATTTCCCAGACGGCTCAAGACGCACCCAACATGGCCCAGGATGCCCTCCAAAAAAGGCCCGAAAAGACCCAACTCATTGACTTTCTAACTGCTTTGAAGGATTTGGGCGCTTCATTCTTTTCTGCCTTCCGACGGCCCCAGAGGCCTCCAAGAGGCTCCTAAGACGGCCTCAAGAAGGTCACAGGACGGCCCCATAGGCCCCCGAGACGGCCGAGATAGCCTCTAAGACGGCCCTGAAGCGCCCCCAGAGTGCTTCCAGACGGCACAGCGAAGCGCCCAAGACGGCTTCCGACGGCGTCCGACGGGCCAGGAACGCCCTAAGACAACCAAAAAACCTTCCAAGAAGCCCCCAAGAGGCTCAAAGACCCCCTCAAGAGGCCTCCTCCTACGACGGCCCTACGAGAGCCCCAAGACGGCCTCATAAGCCTCCAAGCGAACCAGCGCCATAGGGAGCGCCCTGGATCGGCGGCACTGGCCGGAGGCCACTACGATGTGTACAGATCGAGGTATATGTATACAAACATATACACATACACACATACACACATACACACATACACACATACACACACATACACACATACATACATACATACATACATACATACATACATACAGACAGACAGACAGACAGACAGACAGACAGACAGGCAGGCAGGCAGGCAGGCAGGCAGGCAGGCAGACAGACAGACAGACAGGCATATATACATACACATACATATTTACACATACATACACATAAATACTTACATGCATACATACATACATACATACATACATGCACACATACATACATACATACATACATACATACATACATACATGCATGCATACAGACATACATACATACATACATGCATGTATGCATGCATATATACATACATACATACATACATACATACATACATACATACATACATACATGCATACATACATACATACATACATACATGCATGCATGCATGCATGCATGCATACAGACAGACAGACAGACAGACATACATACATACATACATATAGATACATACACATACATACATACATGCATGCATACATACATACATACATACATGCATACATACATACATACAGGCCTGCCTGCCTGCCTGCCTGCCTGCCTGCCTGCCTGCCTGTTTGCATGCATACGTGCATACGTGCATACATACATACATACATATATACATACATACATACAGACAGACAGACATACAGACAGACAGACAGACAGACAGACAGACAGGCAGGCAGGCAGGCAGACAGACAGACAGACAGAGAGACAGACAAGCACACACACACACACACATACAGACATAGGAGAGAACGCGTTTCACGGGCGCTGGCCTGGGGAACATTCGGCGGCGCGATTCGAACCGGGGGGTGGGCCCCCCCCAACACTCGGCGCCGTCGATCAAAACCAGGGGGACTCCCCTCCCCCCAAACACCCCCCTCCCAACCCCCCCCCCTCCCGAAGGGGGGGGAGTGTTCAAACACCCCCCCCCCCTCGGCGCCGGCGCCGGCGCTGGCGGCCGCCAGCAGCGCCCACGGCGGGGACGCAGCGACGATGAACAGAGGCAGCCCAGGGGGGGGGGGGGGGGGGGTTCAAACCCACCCCCCCCTGGTGCCGGGGGGGGGGTTCACACCCCCCCCCGCGCTGGCGCCTGGCGCTGGCGGCGGCCAGCAGCGCCGGCGCTGGCGCCGGCGACGGCGGGGACGCAGCGACACTTACCACCACTACCACCACCACCACCACCTACCACCACCACACCGCCTCAACCCACCACCACCACCACCACCAACAGCACCACACACACCACCACCACCACCACCACAGCCACCACCACCACCACAACCACCACCACAACTCACCACACCACCACCACCCACCACCACAAAAACCCACGACCACTACCCACCACCACAATCTACCACACCACCACCACCACCAGCCACAACCACGATCACTACCAGCAGCACCCACCCACCACCACCACCACAAACCACCACACCACCATCACCACCACCACCACCACCACAAACCACCATCGTCCTCGTCGACGCTCCCCGCCACCGCCGCCCGCCGCCGCAGGCGCCGGCGCCGGCCCAGAAATGGAAATCGTCGTCCCCCGCCGCCGTCGCCAGCCGCCGCCGACACAAGCGCCGGCCCGAGGAGAGGGGACGCAGAGGAGGGAGGGGGGGGGGGTCGAACCCCCCCCCCGTCACGGGAAGGGGGGGGGCTCGAACAACCCCCCCCCTCTATCCAGGGGGGGGGATCCGGTTTCAACCCCCCCCCCTCCCAAGCGACCACAGAACGCGCTCTTTCATTACACACATACATGCATAAATACATACATACACACATACATGCATGCATGCGTGCATACATACATACATACATACAAACATACATACAGACATACAGACATACATACATACATACACACATACATACATACAAACAGGCAGACAGACAGACAGGCATACTTACATACAGACATACATGCCATCATACATACATGCATACGTACGTCTATACATCCATGTATACATCCATGTATACATACATACATACATGCATACATACATACATACATACACACACACATACATACACACATGCATGCATGCATGCATACATACAGACAGGCAGACAGTCATGCATATATACTTACTCACATGCACACTTACCTACATATCTACCAACCTACCTACCGACATAACTACGTGTCAACGTCTATGTGTACATGCATGCATACATGCATGCATTTGTGCATGCATGCATGCTTGCATACATACATTCATACATACATGTATGTGTTTATGTGCACAATGTGTGTACATATATAGATGTGAATCGGCATTGCTACATGTATATCAGGCAGGCGTATATATATATACATGACATAGTGATGCATGTACGTGTGCACATGGGTATACACATCTAGGGATCTACCTATATATATATATATATATATATATATGTGTGTGCACGATACTCTGATCTCGGATCCGCACCTACGATGCCACGATCCCTCGCAAACAAAAACCGCAGGCCCGAACATTACGGGCGACGGTCTCTTTTAAAACTAGGTACCCACGCATTCGAGACAACAGTCTTCCTATAACCTAACGAACGCGCCGTCAAGGCCACGACCCATTGTAAGCAACCATCGGTGCGCAGCTTCGAGGCCACGAAACGTCAGTACAAAAACTATACGGGTCCGCGTCTTCCAGGCCACGACCCCTCGTTAAAAAAATGCTGTTCCGCGCTCCGAACTGCCAACCAGCCCTTCAGCCAAGAAAGTAAGCAACCAACCTGTCAACCGTCCATCCAGACAGCCAGCCAATCAGCCGAGTGGCAAGCCTGCTAACCAATCTGCCAATCGACCAACCAACCATCCCAATCGATCAAGCCGTGCAGGCAATCAGAAGGGAATACGTATGGCGTCAGAGGTTGAAGCCTTTCATATAACTTGCAATCAGAGGGCAGCGCGATGTAACGTCTGGCCTCGCACGCGGTGCCCGCCGCCTTCCATCGGTGCCCTGTGCCTGTGTGATGCCAGCCATGGTTCTCATCCGTCGCCCTCCCTCCCCCTCCGCTCCCATCCTCTGATCCCATCCTGCCCCTCTGATCTCATCCGTCCCCCTCCCTCTCCCTCCCCCACCCTCCCCCACCTCCCCCTCTGATCCCTCCCCCGCCCCGTGCCTCCACCCCCGTTGGCACTCAGAGCCCCTCTGGAGCAGAACAAAGCCGGCAGGTCGTTGCAACGGCGCTCTCACGCTCGCCGCCCGAGGATTGCCGCAGCAGCCTGCCTGGACTCGCAGCGCGCTCCGTGTGCGTCTCCACGCGAGAAGCTCTCTGCCACGCGTGCAGTCGTGCCTTAGCCGATCGACGCTCTTTCCATACACATACACATCGACATCTGTGTTTGTAGACCTGTAGACCTATGTGTACGTAAATATTACAGTCTGTATGGACACACCTGCTCACGCCTGATTTTCCCGAGGAGCGGAAGGGGGGGAGGCGTGAATCAAAGTCTGGCCTCTCAAGACCAGGTGCTTTGTCATGTCCTGCAGCCCCTAGCGCTATGGGTGGGGGTGGCAGCAACAGGGGCTTGGATAGAACATGGAGCATGGAGCATCGATTCCTCCTTCCTCCCCCTCCCTTCCTCTCTGCCTTCGCCAGAATCATCATTCGACGCAAGGCAGGGGCGCCTGGTCACCGCCAATCTTCGGCCCGAACCACCAGCCGTGGAAGTTGGGACCGTCCCTGTCGTCCCAGTAGTAAATCAACACTACAGTGGAGCTGTCACCCTCGCGCGCACGGCTGCGAAGGGAGGATCGAAGACCAAGGCTCAATCATCCTGCTGACCAGTTGTCCTCCTCCTGCTCCTCCCCCTTCTTCTCCTCCATCTCCTCCTCGTCTTCCTCCCCGCCGTCTTCCCTCGACTCGCGCACGAGGTAGGTAGAAACATGAAGCAGGAAGACGTGGACAGTAGAATGAGTTTCGGCCCGCCCCCTGCACGGCAAGGGAAAAGGGGAGGCCCGCCGACCCTTGGAGCAGGACAGCGCTGGAAGCATGTTTAGGACCTGGGGGTCCGACATGCTGTCTTCGTGAGGTCGGCACCCTGTGGCAAGGTCTTTACGAATTTCTGGACAGCATCGCTCCATTGGAGGAAGGCCCAGCCTCAGATGTCAAGCTTAACAGGTCGCCACGTCTCCACCCGGCAGAATCTCGGGAACTGCTTCTGCGAGCCAAGACGTGTGCATACCAATCCTTGCTACTTCTCCGCGGCGTCGCATACTAACACCTGGACCGTGCAAGTCGAGACCACGCACAGTTTCACTCATCCACAGATACGCTGCTGATTGTTGCGCGATCGCATGCCGCGCAACGACAGATTCAAAAGGTCGCGGTCGGGCCTCTCGAAAATATCGGATCTGCTCTGAAAAAATCCGCCACCGTACACTTTGCACGAAATGGAGTGGCCCAAGGATCACAGCTGTGCTGCTGCTGTTACAACCAAGGGTCTATATTCTTAGGGCCCTGGACATCCGGTTTCCCAGGCGTTTCCGTAAACTTCCGGGAGTTCCTGGGAGCTCCCGGGGTGTGTCGCGTGCGTCTTCTGGAAGCCTGGAAGGTCTCAAGAAGGGCTGGAGGGACAGAGGAGGCCGCGAAGACGGCCAAGAGAGCCTGGAGTGGCCTCAAGATCGCCCCCAGATCCTCAAGATGGTTGGAAGATAGCCATAGAGGCCCCCAAGAAGCCCCAAAGGGGGCCCCAAAAGCAACCTGCAGATGCCAAAATCATTCATTCCCTCCAGGTTTGTGAATGATTTTAGCGTTCTCACCTTTCTCAGGATTCAACGCTCCAACGCGGCCCACGAAACTTCCAATAGCGCCCCAGGACTGCCCAAGAGGCCCAGAGGGCCCCGAGTCGCCACAAGAGGGCCCCAAGACAGCCCAAGAGGCCCCCAAGACGGTCCAAGAGGCACCCAAGGGGGGCCCCAAGGGGGGCCCAAGAGGGGGAACACGAACGGACATTCCGAGCCTTCCGCCACAAAATAACTCCAAGAGCCCCCCAGAGGCTCCTGAGGACTCCCAAAACGCCCCAAGAGGCCCCCAAGACCCAGGACGCCCCGAGAGGCCCCTAGGAGGCCCCCCAAAAGCCACCAAGGTATCCCAAGAGACCCTCATATGCATCCAAGAGGCCTCAGAACCACAGCCCGTGGCGGGATGGGCGGAACGCCGCTAAATAGATCACGCATTCTCTCTCCGCGGATCGCAATGCAAGTTGAATGAATGAGCCTCTTTTTCACCACCACCCCCACCACCACTGTATGTCGGGGGGGGCAGCAGCTCGAATGCAATTACAGTAGAACTGGAGCACGAGTACACACCCTCGCACGCAACCGACTTCGTCATCGCGCGCTCGCGCCAAACATCCTGGCCTCCAGCCGCCTGGGTAGCCAGGAACATTTCGTCCGGCTTGCATGGACCATCAAGGTGACACCAACCTCAGAACCACAACTCGAAGCTGTCGAATGTGCGTCAAAACGGGCTGCATCGGCACGGAGTCGAAATCGAATCGGAGTAGCTGCACCTGGATGCACAACAACGTCATGCAAGCATCGGACCGCTGGGAAATTAAAACCGAATCGGATCGGGTCGGCCGACGTCGACATCGGATCGGATCGATCGGATCGAAATGGACCCTGGAGGGAGGCCCAGCTCAAGGTCGACCCCTGGACCTCTGACCAGGACTTCGAACAGAATCTGACTGTGGCCACGAGGGCCACCGCGGAGGGCCAGAGGGTGCCCAGGAGCGCCCTCAACGAAGCCTAAGACGAAGCCAGGACGAGGATCACATCAGGAAAGGATAAGGCGAGAATCTCTGGGATCCGGCGGCTCTGGAAGACGTCTCGGGCGCCGCGGCCTTCTGGGACGCTCTGAGAGCGTTCCGGAACGCCCTGGTACGGATTTATCCTCGCCCTAGCCCCATCCGACAAGTGCCTGCCTCGTGGTCGCTCCATCCGACAAGTGCCTGCCTAGTGGGCGCCTCGTCCCAGCCCCGTCCGGGCGTGCCCGCCTCCTTCCTGTACACGTTCTTGTTGTGGTTCTGCTCCGAGACCTTTCCCCCCGCCCGTGCCAGGGGCGCGGCGGCGCGCACGAGTCCAAGATACTCAGAACGTGTGTCAGCGTCAAATAGAAATCTCTCCTCCCTCACGGCCGCTTTCGCCCGTCTTCCCATCCTCCTGCCGCCGGTTAAGTTGCACTTTCCGTTGCCCGGACCGCCTGAGCGCGCGTGCGGACTGCCTCTGCCGCGCTGCGACGTAAGAAGTGTCAGCGCCAAAGCGTGAGTTTGTCCACAGAAGCCCTTCGATACGACGAAGGCGGCGCAAGTGAGGGACGGCACAGGCTGCGTGCTAACGGCGGAGCCGAGCGTGGCAAGCACACATTGGGCGAACGCACGCCCCGAGGATCATCGAACAGGAGGGCGGCGCGGGGGGAAGGAGGAGGGGGCGGCCTCAAAGCCCTCCGGGCCTCCCGGGAGGCCTTCCCCGCGTGGAAAGGCCCCCCTGCCTTCTCAGACGCCTCCCTCACTCTCACGGCTGGTTTGGGTTAGATCCTGAAGCCGTCCCCAGCCCTGCACTGCCCGCCCAAAGAGGGAGGCAGGGCCGGTTTTTTGTGGCGCCACTAGCCGAAAGGGGGGACTACCCCAGGAGGCGAGGGAGAAACGCTCATCACACACCTCCCTGCCCTCTCTCAGGGCCACTCCCCTCGCGCCTTCCCCCCTGGCGCGCGCCGCACGAGAGAAATACCCCCCCCGACGGGGGGGTCGACCCCTCGCCATGTCGGCGCACCGCGCCGTGTCTTGAGGCGCCTTTGGCGCGCGGCGGTTGTCCGCGACGTGGGGTTCGATCTGGGGCCGTCGGCAGAGGGGGCGCATGATGGGCATGTTTTCCACCACCACCACCACAAGTTGAAGGGGGGGAGGAGGTGGAGGAGGAGGAGGAAGGAGAAGAAGAGGGGGAGGAGGACCCCCTCCCCCCTCCAACTTATGGTGGTGGCGGTGGAAAACAGGCCCATCAGCGCACACCATCCCCTCAGCGCTTATTGCGAAACTCGGAGCAGACGATGACGGCGTCGGCGACGACGACGTCATCGTCTCGAGGGTTGCGAAACTCGGCACGGACGACGACGGCGTCGGCGACGGCGACATCATGGTCTCCGTCGCCACGATGGTGGCTCGGGGAACTCGCCGTCCTGGGCCTCAGGAAGGGTCTCGGGGACCAGTCTTGAACGAACATGAGGACCCACATGGGCACGCAAAAACCGAGCACGATGCCCAACAACGAAGCTTGTCCAAAACCGGACAGCGGCCGCTGTTAGGCAGGCGACGTTTGCCTCAAACTAACAGCGTCCGCGGCGAAACCTACAGCGATTACTGATCAAAAACAAGAACTGCTGCTGGTCTCCGTCCCCATTCCGGTCCTCCTGCGATTCGGGGTGGCGCACGAGGTTTCTCGATTGTCGGCGTCGCGCGTCCACAGGCCGCTTCCCGGCCCCAGGACTGTCCTTCACCGACTCGGAACGGAGAGCCCCCCCCCCACAAACAGTAAATGCTGGCCCTAGGGAAAGGGGTCGCGCGACGCGAGGGCCAGTGACCCGAAAAGCTCGCGTCGTAGGAGGTGTTCCGTACAGACATGCGTTGGATCACAGCCAAGGGGGCTCGGCGCGGTCGAGCTAAAGCGGGCTGTGCAACAGCCACTTGCGCATAGGCATCTCGCTCGGGGAAAAGAAGCGGCCGCGGAGGGAGGAAGGAGGAGGAGGCGCACTCAGATTGTGAACATATTCATGAGCGGCGCTGGCGGCCGCAGGCTCCCTCGGGATTCGTGCAAAGTGGCTGACGTGCCCGCAACGCAACACCAGGAGCACAGTGGCAGCCAAAGTCAGATGCACACCTGGGATGAGAACACACCCCATTGCCACACCCGCCCGACGGCCTGTTCCGACCCCCCAGCCACCGCCCGCTCGGGGAAACGTAAGACTCGAGTTTGCTTGGCTCGAGTTGGCCTGATGGGGCCGTCGGCAAAGATGACAGGCCCAGCTTGAAATCTGGCGCGGGTTCCCATGCAGGGACCGTCAAAAAGCGACGGCACGCCCGATTCTGGCAAAGTCGATCCTTGCGTAGTCGAAAACATGCTGGTAAGCTTAGGTATGTGTTACGCTTCAAGCGTTGCCATATCCCAGGCTTTGGCTCATATCGCATGAGCAAGAGAGCGAGACGAAGCATGGGATCTGGAGTAAAGGATAGAAGAGGCATCTTCAATGGAAAAGGTATTTTCCGATCTCAGATACCAGTCGTGCGCCTCGGTGAGGCACAGTCATATATTTGGCCGGGCCCGGCTTGAGCCAGGCACGGCAGCGGTACATGCTCGATTTATACCTCGCCTTTAACCTTCTCCGTTTAAAGTCGGAGGGGGAGGAGACGAGCAGGCACCGCACTTCTACATTACGCGGAAAAACAGTGCTAAGCAGCAGCGGCTGCCTACAAGGCAAGGGCGCGCGAGTAGCCTCGCTACCGGCGAGTTTCCTCGCTACTAGAGCGCACCTGCACGCGGGTTTCCCCGCTAGCTCGGGAGGCAGGGCCGTCCTGAGACGACCTGCCCGCCCTATACGGTGTATGTTTCTTCAGCTCGTGCTTGAAGGATTGCTGGCCGGCCATTACTTGTAGGAGCAACGCGCGGTCAATACTACCTTTGGTATGACCATCGGCAGTCATATCCCGCGTGTCACACCATTGAACGCTTTCAACGATTCCGCGCTCCATCATCTGGCGGATCCAGCTAATGTGCCCAAGCAGAGTACATTCTGTGGGCTTCTTCAGATCTTTGCTAGACAAAGACTTGAAGACAGACTCGGCATCAATAGTCAGAGTGACTTTGATACATAGACCACCCATTTCCAATATGTTCTTTAACTGTGTGGGGGTCAATGGTCCCGAGTGTAGCTCGTGGAGCGTTACAATGGTCGGGTAGCAGTCTTCCAAGTTGTGGGCTGCTGCCAGTGTTTCCGCAGAGTAGCTCGAACGCACCTGCAGTCGATGAGACTTGCAGTATGCGTCCACCAGGTGCACGACGGGTTTCCCCGCTTGCGTGTGGCCACGCCTCAGCAGGTTAGCCCCGCGGATACCATAGCCTTTGACTTCGTCGTCTTCATCTCCATTGAGACGGCGATAGCCAGAATCGCTATGCAGGTCAACTTCTCCTGTTGGAGTCATAGCTTGATACACGATCTTCTTCGGACCTGCCTGTAGTTTCCTGGTAACCGCGTTTAGTCGTCGTACCTGGATGTTTGTCGGTTCCTGGATACGTTGTAGTGAGACAACATAGACCATCAGCCATACCTGCGTGATCAACGCATAGGCTAGAGCGCCACGAAGACTGACGAACATGTCAGAAATCGTCTTTGTCGCTTTGCTCTCAGGATCAGCTCCTGTGAGTTCTGGATGTGTGATAGGACGATGCTGTTTGATGTATTCGTCCTGATCAAGAGTGACGCTCCCATCATCGGTCTTGTTATACCGAACGGCACAGTTTGTGTATGTGTGCTTGTTCAGTTTGCACTTCCCAAACGTATCTTCAACACACTTGACATACTTGTCAATAGCATCTTCCTTCCCAGTCATATTGATGTCATCAACGTGCTTGGCTGTCAAGAGGTTTGAGCTCATCTCGAACTCTTCGTCGTATGAAGTAGGCTGTAGCCCAAAGCTCCTAGTGATGGACCTGAGCTTCAGCGAGAATGCCCTGGGAGCATCCTTCGTGCCCGTCCCCGGCTTCAGACACCGAAGACAATGCTTTGATTCGTCATATGACTCAAAGCCTGGCAGTGTGCGAAGGACAGCTGCTGACCCAGGAGGTAGTGTGAAGCACACCACACGCTCTTTCTCGCCCGTTGCCGCGGCGAGCTCGCTATAGGTCAGTCCCTTCAAGAAAGCCATGTTGATGTCCAGGGAAGCGATGATCCAAGCTTTGTTGCATGCAGCAGAACTTGCGAGCAGTCTCTGGCTTGACCTCCTTGCCGTGCCAGAGAAGGTTTCGACATCAAAGGCTTCAAGGTCCATGAAGCCACGGAGTACCAAGCGTAACCTGATCGTCCTTTCCATTTCGCCCTTTTCGTTCTTGACAAACTTCCATTTGTATACGTAGCGTGAAGTCATGATGTTAGACGCTTTGCTCAAGTCAGTCATCTGAAAGCATTTATTGTCAAGCCAAGTCTTCAATTCTGTGTAAAGGGCTTTGGAAACTTTGACCGGATTCGCTTGAATGTCGGCCTTCGTGAGTAGATCGTCTTCCTTGACGACCACGGCACGTTTGGAGGCAGCACTGACGTATACTCGCATGGTTGTGACGCTGCTGTCATCCAACAATCGGTGTTGCTGCTCGGACAGGACGACTTTGGACATGTCTGCTGTGAAGCAGAGCTCGATGTACTTCCCGTGCTCATCGGAGTCCAGATCATATTTGCTATCCGGATCCGTGGAGCATAAAGGAACGTAGTAAGAAGTGTCCATGTCGTATCCTGGCGGGTGACCCCGCTCCGGCAAGTGGCCTTGCACATCTTCACAGGTCGTAGAGACTAACACACACTGTGTGTCTGTCATGTATGTGGGAACTGTATGCATGACTTCTTCTGTGTCAGCTTCAAGGAGTGTTCTGTCATCCATCAGTTCAGCATACCACGACTTCAAGACAAAGGCATCCAGATCTTCTTCTGTTTCCTCTATGATGGTCGGGAGCCGACCATCGTTCTCCGCAGGAGGCTGCTCAGGAGCAGCTGCTGGAGGTGACTCGCTTGGTGGTGGACCATCAGCGAGTTCCTCAAACTTAGTGAGGTCTCGGTCAAATCCAGCAGGCGGCTTCCTGGATTTAAGACACTGGATGATGCGTGAGTGTGTAGATCCTGTGATGTCGTAGATGTTCAAGGCAGTGCCATCAGCTTCATAGTAATGAAAACCAGGGGTCACATCATTATCATAGTGCACTAGTGTACAGCTGTCTGCATAGGGTGCAGCAGGCAACTTCGTCAGGCTCTTGGCAAGTCGTACAGCAACAACGTTTTCAA